CCTGAGTTGATTTCCCTGATCTGTAGAAGAGAAAAAAAAGCGGGTATTGAGGTGTACGTACACCTCAGGTGCTGGCTTGGGGTGTGTAGGCACCTCGAGCGCCGCAAATGCGAATTTTTGGAAACAAATGCTTCAAAATCAAATCTTAAATGCAAATTAATGTTTATAAAACAAACAAAGTCTATATTTTTGTACAATATATCGATTTATTGCGTCCATGAAGTGTTAAATGCGAATGAAATAATAAATGCATGCACTGGTGCTTCAAGTTGCACGAAGTTGGGGTGTACATACACCTCAACGCAGCGCCAGCAGCAGTAAAAAAAGTTCCAGAAATAAAACAGAATATGAAATGAAAAGTTTATCATTCGAATGAAAACAAAACAAAAACAATTCAGAAACTGTTCGTTATGAGATTTTTCGAAAAGAAATGAAGAGAAATAAATCAAAAATGCATTTTTACGCTTTTTTCAAAGTTGAATTCATGCGGGGGCTCGACAGTGAACTCAACAACAAATAAACGAATGAAAAAACAAAAAAAATAAATAAACAACAAATGAATAATTAAATAATTAAATATTTAAATGGGTGAATTAAATAAGTAAATAAATCAAATCGAACACTTCACCTGTCGAGACCCTCGAAGACAATGAAGACACCCCGCTTCGGCGGCTCCAGTTTTTCTTCTTCTGTTTCCATTTTCAGTTTAAAATAAAATTAAATAAATTAAATAAATTAAATAAATTAAATAAATAAAAATAAATAAAGTAAATTCCAAAAGAAAACAACAATTGGCCTTAAAAGCCCGAGACGCGCAGTGACGGATTTGCTGCTGCTGCCAAAAGTGAAAAAAAATCAAATTTCTTTCTTTTCTTTATTTCACCTTATTGTATTTATTCATTTCTTTTTTATTTTCCAAATTTAATTCATTTCAGCCAATAAACAGACAAAACGTTGCATGCAGGGCCCCAGCAAATGCATGCAGCGACTCGCAGCCCCAACAAACCCTAAACCCTAAACCCTAAACCCTAAACCCTAAAGTCTAAACCCTAGTTCTTGAGTCAGAATGGATTGCAGAAGCACCTCAGGGGATCGGTCAATACACTTTAAATTAATTAATTTAAATTTATATTTAAATTTAAAATTAAATTTTATTTCGAAAGAATGAAATGAATCTCATTAGAGCCCTTTACGGGTTTTGATTAGATATGGGCCAACACATGAGTTCGAGCATTGCCAGTTTGCTGCTGCTGCTGTTGCTGCTGCTGCTGTTGCTGCTGCTGCTGTTGCTGCTGCTGCTGTGGTCGTTGCTGCTGCGGGTGTTACTGTGACTGATCCTGTTGTTGCTGCTGTTGCTGTTCTTGCTGCTGCTGCTGTTGCTGCTGTTGCTGCTGTTGTTGCTGCTGCTGCTGCCCAAGACCCCGTAGAGTTTGTCTTTGTGTCTGCTGCGGCGAGAAGTGCCCGTATAGATCAGCAGCAGCAATCTGGCTGCTGCTGCTGCTGCTGCTGTCTCTGCTGCTGCTGCTGCTGCCTCTGCTGCTGCTGCTGCTGCTGCTGCTGCTGAAGGGGCCCCACACTACAGCACAGAGTCTAGCAGCAACGGGAAGCCCGCATGCATGCTCTTGGGTGTAGAGACAGCTAAATAGGTAATTAGATTTAAAAGTACTTTTTTATTTCTTAAAAAATAATGAAATATAAAAAGACCCGAATGTGTCTTCAAATTAAATTAAATTAGATCAACAAATAGACAACAAAAGGGCACATTGAACCAAATAAATTCATGCAAAAGTCTATTTATTATACTACTATAACATATATTTTCAAAAAAAAAATTTAACAAATACAACACAAGTGAAAGTGCCTCGAAATATGTTAAAAATGGGGTGTATGCACAGCTGAGCGCATGCAAATGTGCACTTTTCTGCATATTGTTTTTATAATGACAAATATAAAAGCATTTAAATCCATTATTTTAAAAATGAATTTAAATGCAGAAATGCATCTTTGTGTGGGGCCCCAAGGCTGCTGGGGTGTACGTACACCTGGAGAGCCACAGAGAGTCAAGACTGCAAAAAGCAAAAAATCAATTTTTCAAAAATAATTTTTTCGCATTTTTTTCCGTTTTGCATGCATTTAGAGTTCTAATTAATTCCACAATTTTAAACTTTAAAAAAGAAGTTTTGCTCCTTAAACTGTCTTCAAATAATTTGAAGTTTTTTACAATTCAATGCATTTAATCTAAACCTAAATGCATCTGCAACAAACTATTTTTGAAGTTTATATAAAGTTTATTTAATGCAAATAATACTTTCGATTTAGTTTTTAGCTAATTAGATTTGCTGCTGCCTGAGGCGCCCCGCGGCCGCCCCGCCCCCATTGCAACCGCAGCTGCTGCTGCTGCTGCTGCTGCTGCTGCAGCAAAGGCCCCTCGCACAGAATGAGGAAAAGCGAGTCCTGCAGTTTGCTGCGGCTAGCAGCTGCAACGCGAGAACCACAACTTAAAGCGGACGCGTAAAGCTCCCAGCAGCAGCAACAGCACTCGCAGCAGTAGCTGCAGCCACAGCTGCAGCAGCATAACTGCAGCAGCATAGCTGCGGCAGCAGGTGCAGCACTAGGAGCAGCTATAGCTACGCCAGCAGCAGCAGCAACAACTGCAGTAGCAGCAGTACTAAGAGTAGCAGTAGGACTAGCAGCACTAGCTGCAGTAGCAGCAGTATTAGGAGCACTAACTGCAGCAGGACTATCTGCAGGAGGACTATCTGGAGCAGGACTAACTGCAGCAGCAGTAGCAGCAAGTTAGGAGCTCCAGTGCTTCCTTGGAAGCGTGAGATTCCTGCTGCAGCTGCGCGCTGCAGCAAAGAGAACGACCTAATTCGCAAACCTGTGGCAGCGACTTGGGTGTAAGGGCTTTTGCTGCTGCTGCTGCTGCTGCTGGTGTTGTCTTCTGCAGTGTGCAGGGGGGGCAACTGGGCGCGCACACGCCGCTGGCGCTGCTGCAGCTGTAGCTGCAGCTGCAGCGGGTTGAGCGAGAAGCGGGCCTTGTGTCGGCGGCAGCAGGAGCAGGCCTACGCGAACTGCAGCAGCAGCAGAAGCAGCAGCAGCGCAGCAGCAGCAGCAGCAGTCGCAGGGGCGCCGCGGCGGCGTGGCTGGGCGGGCGTGCGCTGCGCGGGAGCAGCGTGAGCAGCGGCCGGGGCAAGAAGCAGCAGCAGCAGCAGCAGCAGCGGCAGCAGCAGCAGCGGCAGCGGGCGGCCGGGAAGCCAGCAGCAGCAGCAGGAAGCAGCGCAGCCGGCGCGGGGTTGCGCTGGCTGGGGCGCGCGGAGGGCGCGGCGCAGGCGCAGCGGCTGCTGCTGCGGATTGGGGCCGCCTTGTAAGCGGAAAAAGCGCAAAAGCACTTTTAAAAAGGGCTTTTGGGGCGCAGGGCCGGGCGGGAGTGCAGGGGCTGCGAAGCAGCAGCAGCAGCAGCAGCAGCAGCGGCAGCGGCAGCGGCAGCGGCAGCGGCGGCGCGGCTGCGGGCGGGGGCGCGCGGGCGGGCGGGGCCCGGTGGGGTGTGCGGGGGGCGGCAGAAGCTTGAAGAGCAAGAAAGAGCAGCAGCAACGGCGAAAAGAGAAAAAGGACGCGGCGGGCCTAGAAGGGCGCGAGACGACGGGCTGTGGGGCACGCGCGGCGCAGCAGCAGCAGCAGCAGCAGCAGCAGCAGCCTCGGCGCAAGGTGGCTGCGGCGCGAGAGGCGGCGGAGAGGGCCTGTTGGCGCAGTAGGGCCGAGCTTGAGAGGTTTGGGTGCGAGACTTGGCGCGCGCATTCGCGAGGGCCCGCTGCTGCTGCGCTGCTGCGCTGCCGTGCTGCGGGCGAGGCGCCGCGGCGGCTTTCGCTGCAGGCGCTGCCGCTTCTGCTGCCGCTGCCGCTTTTGCTGCCGCTGCTGCTGCTGCTGCTGCCGCCGGCGGCGCGCCGCGGCGGAGGCGCGAAGATGGTGACGACGGCGTCGCCGGACACGTACCACCGCGTGATCGAGTACGGGCTGCGGAAAACGTCGCTGCGGTTCGACCGGCTGCTGCTGCAGGCGTTCATGGCGGGCGTGTACATCGGCCTGGCGGGACAGGCGTGCAACGTGTTCGCGGGAGGCACGCCGACGGGCGCGGGAGACGCGCGGGCAGTGTCGAAGTCGGTGCAGAAGTTCATGTACGCGGCGATCTTCCCCACAGCGTTCATCGCCATCATCTTCACGGGCGCGGAGCTGTTCACGGGGAACACCATGACGATGCTGATCTGCCTGATCGAGCGGCGCATCACCTTCCTGCACCTGCTGATCAACTGGGTGGGGTCCTTCCTGGGCAACTGGCTGGGCGCGCTCTTCGCCGCCTACTTCCTGTCCTTCCTGCCCGGCGGCTACGACCAGGAGCCCCTCCGCAGCTACATGTGCCACCTGCAGCAGGCCAAGCTGGGCTACGGCTTCGGCAGCTGCTTCCTCCGCGGCGTCGGCTGCAACGCGCTCGTCTGCCTCGCCGTCTGGAACGTCACGGGCTGCGACGACCCCGCCAGCAAGGTCCTCGCGCTGTGGTTTCCCATTGTCACCTTCTGCGTCGCGGGCTACGAGCACATCATCGCCAACTTCTACACGCTGCAGCTCACGCTCATGATGGGGTGCGGGGCGTCCGTCGGCGCCGTCGTGCTGCGCAACTTCGTGCCCACCTTTTTGGGCAACATGGTCGGCGGCTGCGTCTTGATAGGCGCCGTCTACTGGTACAACTTTTACCCCGTCGAGGAGTACACGCACAAGGCGCTGCTGGGGGGCCCCGCGCCGCTGGGGGGGGGCCCCGCGGGGGCCCCGGGGGGCCCCGCCGGCCCCTTCGCGGACCCCGACAGCGAGTTCCCCATCTCCAGGGTCCACTCCCGCGCCTCCGTCAGCCCCAGCATCATCGGCCTCGGCGCCAAGCCCGCCACCGCCTTCGGCGGGGCCCCCCCCCAGGGCCAGTGGGCCAGCTACGACCACGCCAAGACCCACTCCGAGAGCCTCAGCAACGTGGGCAGCGGCGCCGGCGGCCCCGCCGCGCCCGGCGCCCCCGGGGGGCCCCCCGGGGGGGCCCCCCCGCCC